TCTATGAAGGGAAATGTATTTAAATGAAACACTAGATTTGAAATTGTATTTTCATACCTGGACATTATCTATTTCATAATTTATATGAAAGCTTGGTTTGTAAAGATGTAGGTATTTATATCAACTCATGTTATGGATGTCTTTTAGCGAACATTATTATTGGTGTTAAAGAGTGTATTTTTTTAGGACTGTATTTTCCACATTTTACTGTGGCTTAATACTTGCTATTTATTGTCATAAATATTAGAAGAGTTTACTTAAAGAAGTTTAGTAGTAAGTTGTGGGGAGTAGATAAAGTTCTGAGTGAATGTGTATTGTTAACCTGAGAATGTTCATGTCATTGTTAAGGACCTCAATGCCTCAGACCCATGGAAATGGCAAAGCTTTCCCAGAGGAATGCCAAAGCTTGCCTTTCATCAAAGAACAGATGTTAAGAAGATTAACCTTTAGCTAATACCAATGTGTACAGAATCTTTAACCAAAGCTAAAAAATTTCTCCAAATAACTGCAACCTGTATTTGCCCTTCAGCAGATACCTCCTACCAACATTTGCTAACAACATGCCTCTTCCTCTTTTAGTTTTTTCTCATTAATCTGTCTACTTGATTCAATGAATGAAATAAGTGGTCTGAGTTTCTGCGCTGTTGGTATGTTTCCACCAGAAGGCATGTGCCCACTGGATCCCAGATTTTCTATGAATGTGTCTGTGAAATTGTCCTTCCTTCATTCCCTGGCCACCTTGGTCAGGCTTCCAGGACCCAGCCATAGTACTAAGTGAACATTTGCACAATGTTAGATTTCTATAAAATCTTAGAGTGTATTCAAATTTATGCTTGAAATACGTTGGCATCTTGTTCTCATACCATTTAAAAATCAAACTATTGATTTCTCGTTGTGATTATTTTTAATGGCTATCTTAGCAAAGACAGTAATCTGTGTGTGTGCATATAAACCAAATATGTACACATCATCCACACATGCACACACTCATCCTTATGAGGAAAAACAATCACGTAAAGCTTAACAGATTAAGTGTTGATAAACCTAGTAATTATTTTTGGATTTATGCCTTGTGATGATATTGTGTGGACTTTATTAATCACTTCCTAACACAGAGAGCACAGTTTTTAGTTGTATGGGGAACATTTGTGAGATTTTTTTTATTTCAAAAGAGAGCAGAAATGGCTGCATATTCTGCTTCAGAGAAACTTGCACATCAATGTTAATTGATGCTTTATTCATAATATCCAGGAAATGGAAAATATCTAGATGTCAATCAACTGATGAATGAATAATGAAAACCTATTATATATTCAATATAATATTATTTTGCTAGTAAAAACCTGAAAATTTCACATAAATATATGAGGGGGGAGATAACTATTCTTAATGAATAATCCAGATTTAAATACTAGAAAGACAGATACTACGTATTCTATTTCATAAGCAGATGTTTGAGTTTTATATATATATACATGTATATATATATACATGTTAAATTAGAATTAGAAACTAGTAAGTATGTGTAGTTGCAGGGGATTTCAAAGGAAGGGGAATGGAATAATGTAATACAGGCTGTATGAAGAGATAAAGTTAATAATGAAACAGGGATTATTCTTTGAAGAAGATGGGAGTTCAAAGTTATCATCAAAGATTTTGAAAATAACATGAAAATCTGCTCTTTTGGAAGCCTTCCCCAAAATAAACATTCTGGAAGTAAAAGGAGGAAGATGAAGTTGTCCTATAAAGAGGGTGAAATGGTCTCTACCAAACATCATAGATTATCAAATAAAAAACTCAGTTCGAGATAGGGGTTACCCCTTTTCAAAGTGTTGTTAAGTGCTTTCTTATAGATATCTCAAACATTAAAGGTTCCCCAGTAACCCCCCCCATAACTTTGTTGTAAAGCCCAATTCTGATGATACAACATACTTTGATTATAAGACATAGGGAACCCGATATATTACTGATCTGAAAGCCTTCTCTGTATTGGCTAGCTTTCATAGTTCTACAAGATTTCTATGCATACCACCAGGGTAGAAAACTAGTCAGGTGTGAACACAGTGAAACACAATAGCAACCAGATAGGCAAACTATGACTACCAGGGGACTAGTGGCAAGAATGTCAGTTCATGACTGAAATTTAATCCTCTCCACAGACTGAATTCATGCCTGATCTGGTAAACTCAACCAAAACTCATGGCTGGTTTTACAGTCTACTTTCACTAGGCTCATACTGACTCTAACTGCTTGCACAAGACCTGCACTAGATCAGGCCAAGCAAAATCCCAGCATGAATATTGCAGGGGCTCATGAAGCTCTATCCCTTGATGAGGAGTTACTGGTAACTGATGTCCGGTGAAGAGAGAGAGCAGTTTTCTTTAGGAATTTAGCCCTGGAGGACATATTCTCCTGCATATTGCCCTATACCACACAAGTACAGGCAGTAAACAGTGGACTCAGTGGGTTTTATAAGTGCAGAGGGAAAAGTGTTAGTTAATAGAGCAAGAATTTAAGAAGAGGATTTGGAGGGTAAAGTTGATAAAGCATGTGATATATATAGATCAAAGTCTCAAACAACGAAAATTAAATGAAAGACTTAAGTGAGTTTTAAAAACTGAAAAATAAAATGAAGTGAAATGTGGTTCTTTGTGCATCCCTTTACTCGTCACTGAAGTTTTCTTTTTCAAAGCTATTGTTTTACATAGAAAGTTAGCAAAGTGTTTCCTTCACCCCCAACTCAGGTATTAGCTTACTGATCTCTTCTTGTTGTAGTCTAGCTGCTTTAACACATAAATATTTGCATACATAAATAATAAATTAGCATATGCATATAAGAAAGGAAATGTGATTTTTGTCTAAGTCACCACACCAAGTACTGTTTTCCGCAATCACCCATTTTCCTACAGATTTCACAACTGCATATTTTTCTATAGTTGATTGAAATTCCATTGTGTATAAATGCAACACAGGGAAGGCAAAACTACTTAAGATGTTTGAAATGCTCCATATCTATAATGAATACTACTACTTTGTATATGTTCAAGAAAGGAGGGAAGAAACTGGTATGTTGGAGAGGTGGCTCAGTTAAGAGCACTTGATGCTCTTGTAGATAGTGTATTTAGTGACCAGCACCCACATGATGGCTCTTAACCATCTGTACCTGTGGTTCCAGAGAATCTGATTCCTTTTTCTGAATTCCTCAGACCCTATGCACACACGTGGTACACAGAAGACATACATGAAGAGAAAACACCCGTACACATAAAATAATAATAATTAAAACACATGGATAGAGTAAGAGCAAGAAAGAGGGTAGGTTAACCCAGGAACAGCTTGTAAAGAAAACATTCAAACCATGCTGGGTGATGCAGCATATTCAATGAGGTTTTAGTAATGAAAGGAACTTAAGATAAAATATGACTTCTTTTGGTCACATTCACATTTATAATTTTCCAGCAGGTCTCAACCCCAACTTCTTAACCTCTTCAATCTACATGAAACCATTTTCCAGACATTTAACTGGAACTATAGATGGTCTTTGGAATCTCACTTGCAGGTCATTGTGTACAGGTATGGAAAACTGGAATACAGATATGTACTTTTAGTGACCATAAATGTAGAGAAATGTCATTGTGAGTTCTGAGGTACATGTGGTATAGTATACAGCCAGTTAGTTAAGTTAAAAAACAAAAAACAGGAATTTTTAAGTGTATAGAAGTTACCATTCAACCAAAAATTCAGATGTTTTGGCAGTTTTCATATTTCCTTATAAGTTTAAATTTTAAACATGTCACAGATTATTAGTATTTGCATATTCAAGAAAAGATACCATCTTCTATAACACTGTAGGAAATGTGGGCAACAATGTATGAAATACTGGGTATGTCAAGAAGACTACAAAAATTTTGACTCATTCTGATTTTCTAATTTAATTGATCTTGACAGAACAAATAAAACAAAAGCAACCTAATCGCTTTTGGAATATATAATTGTCACTATTGTATTTTAGGATAGAAATAATAGCAGACACAATTCTTTTTTCTGTTTTCATTTTTTTAGTATCATAAATACATCTTTAAACAACACACACAGACACACATTATACACACATACATACAGAAAGATACACACACAAATGGATGTGTGTGTGAGTGTCACTATATATATATAGTATATGTATATATATATACATATATGTGTGTGTATTTGATTTTTCCATGAACACATCCTACATTACTGTTCATTAGAAACTACTTCTGTTGGTTCCTTATCAAACTGGGAAAAGAATGTGTCCACTGAGTACATTCTCAAACACTAATGTAGTTTGAACACACTGTCATGTCTTGAATTTCTTTTATGGGAAGATGGAGACAACTGACCAACCCTTAACCAAGTTCGATTACTATTTGTATGCAGGTAGCACAAAAATATCAGTTAAAGCACTTTACAATCCACCACTCAGCATGGTAATATGCTTTATGGACCAACTTTGTTATCTAACTCAAGGAGGTATACTAAATTATCTGAAACATAAATAAGACACAGAACAGATGGTGACTGAGTGAAGGCTCAGTGGTTAAGAGCATTTATTGCTCTTGTAGAGGGCACTGGTTTGGTTCCCAGCACCCAAATAAGATATCTCACAATTGCCTGTAACTTGAGTTTCATGACATCTAATACCCCTTTCTGGCTTCTTCAGGCACCACATACATGTGGCATATATAATCAAGTAGGCATAAGGAAATAAACATTAAATAAATCAATACATACATACACAAAAGAAGAAAGAAAGCAAGTAAAAATAAAGAAAAGAATGAATGAAGGGAGGGAAGAAGGAAGGAATAAAGAAAACACAAACCCTAAGTTCTTTGAGGAGAGATTGCCATAGATTGTACAGTATTTTCTGTCAATCAGAACAAACCAACATAAGAATTCCCTCATTTGGTTTTTGAAAAAATAGCTCACTGATTATAGGAAAACAAAACAAAACTAGTTTCTATAGTTTTTACCATTCCCACGTAAGAGGGCTTTTTAATCTCTCCAAAATAGGATAAATTACAATTTCAATCACATGACTTTCAATACAAAATATAAAATAAATTTCAATTTTTTCTGCATAAACTGAGACTGTATGGACAAATGGACTAACTGTTGGCCATCTCTCTTTGTCTGTTAATTACAGGTAACCAATGCAACTTTAAAATAGTGAGATTAACTGTATTTTCCAAAGGGTAAACACGGACTTCTTTCCACAGAAAATTTATTAATAAGTGCTCAAAGAAATGGTTTTAAACAATGAGCAGTGTTCTTTTTCATAGAAATAACCAGAGGAATGATGATTTTTGAGTCTGTTTTTCCATAGCCCTATTTACACGAAACAGTCTGTTGTAAAGACATCACTTCTATAAGGAGGTATTAATTGTAGAAATATAGCAGTCAGTGAAAGCATAAATTTCCAAGAAAAATATCCCAGTTTATGACTGCAACCAACTGCATATTCACAGAGATTCTTAATGAGAAGTTGTCTGATCATATAATGAATTGAATTAAAATTCATGAATAAGTGTATATAGCTGTCAACTGTGTTTTAATTATCATCCAAAGAAAGCATTTTCTCATTATAAATCTTACATCACTTTTGACTATTGGTTGAAATTGTGGAGCTATGAACATTTAAATATATGAATGACAGCAACTCTAACTACAGAATGATATTCGACCTCAAAAGTGAAAACAAAAATACAAGGGTGTATTTCATTGAACTACAATAAAAACTGCTGAGACCATCAACTTTTCCTAGGACACATCACATCCATTTGTGACTTCCAAAAGACAAAGGTAACAAATAAGGAAGTTAGGAAGAATTGAAACAGGAAGACCTGCTTCGGAGACTCAGTATACTGGTTTAATTCCTAGTTAGTCCAAATGCTGATACTCCGAATTATCAGCCATTCTTTTTGTGTTTTGGTAACACATATCCTTATGCATTGTATGTCAAATGGAATTTTTTGATTCACCTCTGAGATTTCAAAGTTTCCATTTTTGAATTCCCCCAGTCTTGAGTAAGTATCACATTGTCTTACTTGTTTTCTGAACATAAGTATTTTCCCAACATCTAAAGCTCCATGATGCAAAATGTCATTCTGTCGATCTTCTGTTCCAGTATTCACTTTGATTTTTTTAATTACAAGTGGCTTTTCAAATACAATAACAAATGTATCTCCTACTGAAGGTGGTTTGCCCCAGAAGTATTCATCAACACTACTGTAAGCCTTGCTGGCTTCATAGTTTTCAAAGACATTCATGTTAGTGTAGAGGCTGGCTGGGGGGTTATCAGGGATGTCAAATGACTCCTCTTCAAAGTCATCATCCTTCAGTTTATTCTCAGTTCCTTTATAGGATGAATAATAGCCCATGTGCTGAAAGAGAGAAGGTTTAAATCGAATCACATTTTTCTGAGCAAGCAGACCTCGGAAATGAGTCAATAGCCAATCACAAGGCATTTCTTGATAAAACATTAATAAAAAATGGGCCAGACGAGGGAGATCATGAGAATGATACAGTTTACCAATGTAGCCAAGCTTTGAGAACTCAAGAGTTACCCAATATGTTCCTTGTAAGGATGCAATGACTTTCTTGATGGCAGTTAAGAAATTTTTGGAACACCGAACATCGTCTTCAAGCATTACATAATAGTCTGAAGTATTGGCACAGAAATTAAGGAGAAAAGCATAGTCTACATTTTGCTTGGAGCGAAATCTCACTCTATCCTCTGGGTCATTGTAATTTCTTTTAAGACCATCCAGAACTGGATAATACTCTTCAGGAGCATGTATAACCATTAATCTTCCTGCAATAATGTGATGGGCAAATTTCTGTGTAATATCTTGGACCATGACATCACGCCACGATGAATTAAAGTCTGCTAGATGCACCACTACTGAAATTTCTTTTAGTTCTTCATAGCTGGACTGTTCAAAGATTGACTTTATTGTCTCAAGTAAATAACTTCCTTTTTTCCGTTTCACTGATGAAAGTCCAATTGTGAGATACCCTGAGTAAAACAACAACAAAAAGACTAATTAAATGTTAACAGGCTTTGAATAATGTAATGATAGAAACCAAATAAACAAGATTTTCATTCTTTAGGCCTGTAATTATAATAAGTTGTGGTAGTATACTATTTATGATTTATTAAAGTTTTGCCTGGGGATTCAGAAATCAAAATCATCCTGAAGCCATAGAAGCCAGGCACATACCTTTAATATCAAGCAGCCAGAAGCTAGGAGGTGGTGGTACACACCTTTAATCCTAGGATTCAGTACTAATAGGAATATGGGTCTCTGTGAGTCCAAGGCCTCCCAAATATACACAAGAGTGAATCTATCTAAAAGAGAACTATAGCTCATAACTTTAAACCCAACATTAGGGAAGTACATAAGACAGAAGCAAGGTCTCAGAGAGGCATTCATTCTCCAGGAACTCCAAGGAGAGGCTATAAGTCTGAGGCTTGGTGAGAACTCTTGGATGCATGATCAGCCCATTTAGATGTAGAATTAAGTAGCAAATGGCCAGCTGCTTTGCTTCCCTGATCTTTGGCTTGAACCCCAATATCTGTTTCTGGGTCATTTATCTTTTCATGTAACAATAAGTAAATCTGTGAAATGACTCTGTATTGAACATTTTAATATTAGAGTATCAAACTCATTGCACAAGGGTTATAGTGTTTTATGCACATTTGATATCTTATATGGAAAACAAATTATATCTTATGAGCAATCTAACATGGATCCTATATTACGAATGTTGTTTATGGACTACGAAAATGAAAGAATCCTAAAATGTTTTATAACGTAATATTCCTACATATTCCCATTAGAAAAGAGAGGCAGAAGTTTAGATATAAATGTATCTACAAACAAATGAGGTACAGCATTTCACACCTGTAGTCTCAGTGTTTGGAGGATTGGGCCAGAAGGACTGACATGAGTTTGAGGCTAGTTTGGTATACACTTTGAATAAAAAACAAAAACAAAATAAAAATGAACAGTGTAAAAACAATAAATTAAATCAATAAAAGTAAAGGGAATTTATAATTAAGGCTGGCAACCTAGACTCAAGTAATGAGGGCAAAAAAGACTGAACAATTATTTAAATCATCTATAAAATTTCAATAGAATGCAGTGTATTTCAGTTTTCATTATCTTATCACTCTTTGCTAAGTAGGAGTAGGTAGATTTCTTAGTCTTATATTGAAATTTGTCTGATGTGTCTTATAGAAAATTAAGTTTCATAGAATATATTTGAAAAAAATCTTATCATTGCTTAAATACATGGTTTCATGAATTTACTGTTTAATTTGTTTGGAAAGATATTTCGTACCAATATTCTCTGGAGAAAATTTTCTTAGATTTAAGTAAAAATGTAAAAAATATGGATATTTTCAGGGTGAGAAATAATAGTAAGTACATAATTTTACGTCTGACAAGCATTATGCAACTTTGTAAAATCTAATTTCTTAGCATGAAGACTCAATAAAGTTGTGTTAAAGTGAATATGTTTATGTGTAAGGCCTAGTGAGTTAATATAGGCATTCCCTTGATACCACAGGTGTGCTTAAGAAGCTCATTGGAAGTTCTTTCTTTCTTCTGATATTTCTATCTGGAATATGTAATATAAGTCACTGACTACCAGTCAATGACCTGTTATGTTCTTATCAGTTAATGCAGTGGTAAGCATGTGTTTGATGGAAGTTCATTCTATGGCTTTTAATTTTTCTCTTTGCAAAACTAGACCACACAGAAGTCACTCAAAAGAGCTCTAAATTTGGAAAGGCTATTATTTTTTTCCAAACAGAAAATCTTCAAATTGGCATGAGTAAACATTGTCATCTTACTGAATGCTCCTCAACTTGAATTTTAATTTGGCAAATCTTCTTTGGAACAATCATAATGATTATGAGAGTGCCAATACTTAAATCTCAACTTCTGGCTACCAGAATTATGAGACAATAAAATAAAATCTACTAGTTTTTGACAGTCTATGATAATGATTTATAAAATAGTATACTACCAAGACCACATTCAGCAGTGGTTAGAAATTATAAAACTAAACTCTAAAGAATGGAAATACAGCAACATAAAAATATTTTCAAGTCAATTTTAAAGTCAATGGATAATTATTTATCTTGTTTATATCTCTATAACAAATTTCTAAAGGCTTTTTATTAAAACCTGCTATCTTAATAGTTACTGGCTCAGAAAGTACTACAAAGCTTGAAGAATGTTGAATCCTTCTTAAACTATGGATATCAATAATCTATCTTGTAATCCTATATTGCTACACAAACAGCAAATTATCATTATTGTTATGCAAATTTCTGTTTTTAATGAAAACGTTTAATGATACTTACGCTTTCTATGTAAAGGTGTGGCAGCTAGGTAGCGATAGGTGACATTTATTGTTCCTGAGAAGTTAGATAAATCCTTGAAAGTGTGAACATAGCGTTCAGAATTAAGCTGATGTGTGGATGTTTCCCTTATGAGTTGCTTGTCACCTTCCTAAATGTAAACATATATACATACAAAATTAACAAATAACAAGTGGACACTGATTAGGTGACTATCTCCTTACAAAATGGAAATATGGGAGGTGTGTATATTTAGAAAGTTACAAAATCTCAATTACTAACCCATAGCCACAATACCATCAACTTAGACCTTATTTTTTTTTTTTTAGATTTCATACAGTATTTCATTTTTTTTATTCTTTTTTTTTTAAATTTTATTTTCCAGTTTAAATTTAGATAAGAATCAAGGTTGCTTCACAAGTCAGTTCCAGGTCCCTCTCCCATTCCCTCCCTTCCTCCCGTGCCCTCCCCTCCCCCCCCCCCGTTATCCTCTCATTTCTCCAGGGAGGGTGAGGCCCTCCATGGGGGTGTCCATAGTGTGTCATTTCATATAGGGCAGGGCCTAGACCCTTTCCCAAGAGTTCTGGGTGAGAGTGCACCTCACATTGTTCTATTGGAGTCCAAAGTCCGTGTGTATACTTGGGATGGGTACTGATCTGCTGCCCAAGGCTCAATAGATTCCCTAGGCCTCTTCACTGACACCCAGATTCAGGGGGTCTTGATCAGTCCCATGCTGGCTTCTCAGGCTAATGCCTGGGATTCAAGAGTTAACCTTTGTCTGGTCAGCTGTTTCTGGGGGGTTAAACCAGCCCAGTCTTAATCCCTTTGATCATCAGTCCAGCCCAGTCTTAATCCCTTTGATCATCAGTCCTCCCTCTCTGTTACTGGCTTTCTTGAGTTCAGCTCAGTACTTAACCAAGGGAGTCTGCCTCTTCTTCGATCAGCCACTAAATAAAGTTTCTGTTTCCCAGACTCTCTGGCCATAGGATTGTAGGCTGGCACTCCCCAGATCTATGTCTAAAATCCATATATGAGAGAGTACATGCCATGTTTCTCTTTTTGTGACTGGGTTACCTTATTTTTTACCTTCAGCTTCTGTTATAAACTTTCTCACTTTAATCTTTATTCTGTAACACATTTGCTTTTCTATAACATGCACTATTATTCCATTGTTCAGCGATTCAGTCCTTACTTGAAAATCCCCAATGCCAACACATCCAAATTTTAAATATTTCAAAACAAAATGAGCTTTCACTTGAGGTGTTTTCCTTCTGGATTCCCCAAATTTTGAGCCATATAAATTCATGTATTCTTCTACAAATGCTTGCAAATGAAAAAAAATACTGATTATAATATTTAAAGAATGAGTAGGAAGTTTTAGCTGTAAACAAACTATTTAAATTTAGAAAAATTTCTTACCAAATTTATTGATTCATATAGGTGACTTTATAAGGTCGTTGTGGTGAATTGAATGAAAATAGCCCCTATATGCTCATAGGCATTGACACTATTAGGAGGTGTGGTCTTGTAGGCCTCAGTATGGCCTTGTCGGATTAAGTGTATCACTTGGAGTAGGCTTTGAGACTTCAAATTCTCAAGGCAGATCCACTATCACTTTCTGTCTGCTGCCTGCAGATAGGGATATATAACTCTTATCTACTTCTCCATCATTGTGCCAGCCTGCATGCAAACAAACTTCCTGCCTTGATTGCAAGGGACTAAACCTCTGAGCCTGCAAGCCAGACCCAACTAAACACTTTCCTTTACAGGAATTGCTGTGGTCATGGTGTCTTTTTTACAGCAATAGAACATTGACAGCCATATAAATTAAAATTGTTGAGAGTAGTTAGCCATCATCCTTTTGACATGAAATTGCTTATCTAAAAATGTTTTTCAGTATAACGTCAATTAGATTCCATTTGTACCTAGTCAGTAGAATGAGTTGAGACCTTGTTGGCTTCTCATTTTTCTTATTGTAGTCTTTATCTCTGTGTGTATGGATGTGTATGTGAACACTTTTTGTTTGATGTTCCGGGAAAGATAAATGGAATCATTAATATTCATTACAATTTGGTGTTTGGTAGTGGAATTTTGTGTCATTGTATCAACAAAAGCACTTACATTTAATCAGATTTTCAAGTTCAGGTTGAATATGTCCTGTTGGTATCATTTGCTTTCAATTTCTCTAAGCTTTGATGCAACTTCAATGGTAAATTCTGATAATCTGATAAAGTTTGTGGCCATACCTTATTAGATTATTTTTGGTCATATATTTTAGGAGAATCTGACTGGGAAGTCATTTTTCCTTTTGCTAAGTTGTCTACTTCCCTGTGTCTTCTTATGAAGACATATTTCTAGCATTTGTGGTAGGTACTTAAATGAGTCAAGTGCCAGCCAGTAAGACAGTAGAAAAAAATAAATTCTTTAAACGAATTTTGCATTGAGTAATTATCTGTGGTCAATAAAACATTAATTAAATCTCTGTTCTAAAACACTGGGTAAGATTCATACACAAGTTTTACCTTGATTAGACATGGAATCTTCATTACTGACTCAAAGAGGAAAGATATAGTAAAACTTTTTTTTTCCTTTAGGTTTTTTGAGAGAGGGTTAAATAAAATTTCTTTTAACATAGTAGTTTAATATTCACTGAATTCTGATTATCCTATATTACGCATAAATAGTTTAATCTATTTATATGGATCAAGTATACAAATACAATTAATGTATTAAACAAAAAATTAGGATTGCTACAAAGTAAATGCAGATGAATTATCACAAAATTAGTTCAAAAATAATGTAATAGTGTACAACATCAACAGAAGACACGAAACCATTTCTATAAAGTCCACGGTAGTCTCTATGCTATATACATTTTAATATTCTGTTGTTATATGAGGCTACATGCTAAAGAAACCTTACGGTATTGAGTATTTTTTTAAGGATTCTTCCCTGAGCATGTAAAATCTAGATCTTTTCCGTGATAAAATGAAATACATTCATTTTGGTTGAAGGACGTGGTAGAATATAAAATGAAACAGAACTGACATGAAAGTACTTAATTCAGTTCTCAAGAAGTTTCTTAATACTTTCAGCATCAATAAAAATGTAACTTTCACCTGAGCCTGTCTGGTTGGCTGCTTTCAGAGGCGACTGACTGAACATCCAGACTCCCTGGATGCCTTCTTTTCTGCAGTAACTATGCTAAAGTGTGTGTCTCAGTAATAAGGCAAAGCTTTATGACAATCATTTTCTGGATGGTAATGCAATTCAATGGACTCACTACAGTCTAAATATATACCCTAGTGGCTACTTTGAAGATGCTCACAGCTGAAAGGCTAAGTTGATTGGGCATGCAGTGTTTCTGCCACTTAGTTTGTAAAGTATTTGTCTCTTCCACTGAATTCTACTTCCTTTCCAACTGAAAGTCACTTATCTTTCTAAAACAAAAGCAAATATACCAAGACATTAATGTGCCTATAGTTTCAAATGACAAATAAATTTTCTATCAAAAAGATAATTGAAATGTGGTAAATAACTCCAGAGACTACTAATTCTGTTCATCTGATTTCTCAGAATTATAAGTACTGTTTCAATAATACAAGAGAAAGATATTTGTTTATGCTTAGAAAATTGTATTCATTATGACATTATGGAATAATAAAGACAAAACCCAAGAGAGATAAGCTTATGAAAAATAAAATGAAAGATGAAAGAAGAAAAGTGTTAAGCAGAAACTGTATTTTATTTTATTACCAGAGCCAATTTTAAAAAACTATTCATGTTTTTTCAAGTACACATTATAAACAAGATTCATTCATGTAGAAATTATATACGTTGGGTCCACAACTTTGCATTTTGATTGGTTTTGGTTTTCTGTAGTGATCTCTGTCTGTTGCAAATAGAAGTTTTCTTGATGACGGGTGAGAATGCAGTTGGGGATCATGCTAGTTTACAAAAGTGGTGGTTCTCCTCTAAGATGTACAATTACACTGACCCTGGACAGTTGGCTAGGTATCCAGTACCAGGCATGCAGGAATGATTTCCCTGATGTCAAGTGGGCCTTGGAAGTGCAATAAAGAGCTTTTGTTTGCCACAAAGGTATGCATGACACTATTGTACAGTTTGGGTTTCTCTTCCATGCCTGTCATTTCTGTGGTTCACAGACATCATAGCTGGGTAGAGACACAATTCCTGTACCCAAGTCTCAGGGATTGTTGTGGAAGATGGGGCAGAAATACTTTAAGATTCAGAGGAACTTGGGATTTTCCATAATATTCTGTCCTCTAGGAATATCGCAAGATACACTTATAAAGTCGTACTAGTATAATTGCCAAAATCTGTGCTGAATAAGGAAAATAACAATAGATATGCTAGGTGTCAACTAGATGCAAAGAGCTCTAAACAACTAAATAATGCACAGAACAGGAGAAATAGTCTTCACTAGGAACACTTATTGGTTACCCATTACCATATATGTAACAGTAATTAAAGAGAACACAGGACCAGATTTTTAAAGAGAGCTAGAATGGGCATTTGGGAAGGCTTGGAGGAGGGGAAAGGGAAGGGGGAATAATGTAACTGTATGACATAAAATAAGATTAAATTAATGATTATTTAATTTTATTGTATTATTTATAACCACATAAAATTATTTTCTAATAATTTTTTATTTAAATTAGAAACAAGCTTGCTTTACATGTCAATCCAGCTCCCTCTCCCTCCCCTCCTGCCTTGTCTCTCCACCAACCCTCCCAAACCCCCATCCAATCCCCACACCATTCCCCAGGGAGAGTGAGGCCCTCCATAGGGATCTCAGAGTCTGCCGTTTCATCTAGGGTAGAGCCTAGGTCCCCCCATGTCTGGGCTGAGAGAGCATCCCTCCATGTGGAATGGACTCCCAAAGTTCATTTTACGCCATACCCATGCAAATTTATGTGCAGTGCATGTGTACAAATAGCATTGGAGTACAAAAGAGGATGTTAAATCCCCAGAAACAGGAGTTTCAAAGGATTGTGAGTCACAGTATGGGTGCTGGAAATGAAATTCTGAGTCCTCTGAATTATCGTTAGGAACTCTTAAACACTGTGTCATGTTTTCAATCTTCTAGAAATACAGTTTTAATGAATGTAATATTATTGATTGAAAGAATATGATAACTCCATATAAAAATTTATGGGCTGAAGTTCAACATGTTATGCAATTTTACCTACAAATCTACTAAAAAGATAATTAAATGAAAACACCACTAGTGAATTTACAATAAGCGTGTATTTATCATTCTCTGTAATTTGCTTTTCTTTCAAATTTAATATTAGTATTTAATGTAATTGTATGTTAACCCTAAGTTAAATACCTTCCTTTTCTGCCTAGACTGGTTTTCCTAGACTGGTTTTCAATTTGATTAGTAATGTGTTTAATATTAATAGAAAGAATTTTGGCCAAGTAATACTCTAGTAGAAAACTCTACAATTAAATCATGCCTTTAAAATTATGTAGTTGTGACCAGTATTTAGAAAACTTCAAAGACTTCTCAAATCAAGGCACCAATTTCAGATTTTTCTTGCTGATTTATACGTCTAGCATATTTAATTTAATTTAAATACTTTTGATTTAACGACTTCAAATTTATATAACTCTTACAACATAAGATGTCTGTTCCTTACGATAGAGTTTTGATTTATTGTACATGCAAGATTAAGATTTACTTTGATAATATCTCTTAGGTAGAAAACAACTCGTGGCTTATTATAACATTGAACTGATAACATTTGTTTGATTTATAAGATTTAATTTCCTTCTGACAGCTTACAGAGTTAAAGGAATTGTATCTTTGTCACATGATTCACTCACTTCTATGACAATCTCTATTTTATCACATTTCTTTCCAGCAAAGGAAACTACTGTCTACGTTGTGAGGATCTTGTTCCATTGTCTGTCATCACATAAACCTAAATAAAGACCAAGTAAAAATATTCCCAAATTCATACCAATAGTAATTCTCTGATTTGCTGTTCTCCTAAGTCATAGCTAGGTAAAGCTTGTAGATGTATGTCACATTCAACTGTTGTGATCTGATTTTAGATGACAGAATTACAGGTGTTTAAAATTAGTATTTACTTCGAGACAAAAACGTGTAAAAATTCAAGACATATGATTCTAGCAAATTTTCATTAAAGAATGGAGCTGTAGAAAGCAAGTATGCATACAAAATATTTCCTAGGAGAATCTGTGGCAATTAACATTGTAAGGCTGACTCATAAGATATATCAGCAAATAGTAGGATGCTAATAATCATATATAACAAAAATAACATTATATTGGGAAACATTCCATGAGGTTATTGTCATAATCACTCATTAAAACAACATTCACACTCTCATCCGGGTGCTTGTGGGGAAGACTTCTATTGTCTGTGAGGCTATCGGTTTTACTATTTTAAGTATATGAATAGTAATAATAACATGAAAATTGGGATGTGTCTTTAGCCTATTTCAAATTAAAGTAATGAGGACATCAAAATTGCACTTTTACCATTAGACATGAAATAATGAGACAGTAATAAATCAATAATAACTAATGCATTAATTCCTCTTAGTTAGATATATTCACTTGTCATACTTACATATTTTGTACCTATGGTATTTATTGCCTTTTGAATGTCTGCACAGTTCCATGTCCTTTTCTTTACCTCTTGATGGATTTCAGTGAATAGCAATATATAATATATTGGGATTTTGGTTTGATCAAAATACAAAGGTGTATTACATATTGTGGCAAGATAATCATGTATGATAAAGCATAGTTAATATGTATTGTTTTGAGGTTGTCAATTATATTTTGAAAATTTATTTGTTTTTTTTAAGAATTTTAAGTTGGGTATGTAGGAAGGAGCACAAGATTTTGAATGATTCAGGGGAGAGGAAGAATACCCTAAAATATATTTACATGTAATTTTTTTAAATATTAAGAAATATAAGAAAATTTCAGTACTAATATAGATAAGTGGCAAAATATAGGGGTAACACTTTCAAGAAAACTTCAACAATAACATGCAAAATAGGGAGGGTAGGAATAATGGATCAAGAAAATTTTATTTAGACTAAATATTTCACATCATTAAGACGAAAGTTCTTAATATTTACATATATATGAAATCATATATACTGTCTGTATTATATGATATATATTAGTTTATAATATTGAAATGTTTAAAATGTAATTTATGACTATATGTGTGTGTGTTAATGAGCCAACCTATAGTATTTAAGAAACAAAAATAAATCAGAATCAAACAATTATTGTATTGACAATATATGGCTAAAAGTATACATATAGGATATATGAATAAATAAATCTGCTGAAACAAATACTATACTGCTTGTCATATCAAGCTTGGCATACAACTAGGCTGACAATAATTGAACTAAAATAATGTCTCCAACACTTACCAGAACATAGCTATCTTCAATGTATAAGTTCATGAATAGAAGGAAAATGACAAGAACTCCCAAGAAAGACACTGTCGAACGTTTTCTCAAGCATCTCATTTTATCCAGTATTTGAAATATATATTTCATTTTATAAAATTTAAACACTTTTTCCTGTGAAAAAGAAGTAAATAATTACTAACAATTTGGAATATGAATAGTATAATCTCATCACTCACATGTATGAGCTAAAATTTCACTTAAAAATCATACTATTTTCATTTTTATGTATCATCTCCTGAGAGTTAACTATAATGACAGCAAGTGAATTAACATTAGAAGAAATGAAACAATACATTTTTAAATAATATCGCTTTAAAGTAGTAAACTATAACCTTTAGTTGAATACAATTTTTCCAATATAATTTAATTTAATTCTTACAAATATAAGATCTCATTAACATAACAAAATGTGAGTAATGGAGGAAGATGGAGACATACAACCAGGGAAGTGATAAATCTATAACTCAAAGCTAAGGTTTGCCAAAATGTTAATTCCTTAAATCTCACATTTAGAATATCAAATGAAATGTAAATGATTTGTTCTGCAAGATATTTTCCAGCTTTTCTATCTTCTAAACTGACATTTCTAGTATTTTCAGTTCCTCAATTATTGAGTATGTTACATGTAATTAAAACCAAAGTTATAAAGTAGTCCCCCTTTAATTGATACTATGAGGAGATGAAAGTTCAAGAGTAGGACTGTGGTTTTGATTGTGTTATAGTATATGGTATTGCATTGCACCATATAAATCCAATTTCCAAGAGTGTCTAAATGAAAGTCTTAAAATCAAACAAATACCTAAAGATTTGGGTATGTTAGGGTGGAATTCTAACTCTGAAATATTGTTGAAATGAAAACATTGTTTGGGAATGAATGTAATCCAGGAACTTGGAAAGAAAGTTTATAAGAACAGTCTGATGACACTAGAAACGTTAAAGTCTAAGTTGAGCGTGTCTTATTGTTGTAGATGTAGCCTACCCACACCCAACAATACCTACTTTACCACCCTCAGTATTAAGACAGGGAATTATGGATTGGAAATAGTAGCAAAGGCTCTGGGAGGCAGTTACCAACTATGATAGTATGTGAATCACCTTCAGAATTTGTTACTACCAATCATCATTGTTTGTAGACCTTTAGCTATTCTCAAAACCCAGGAAATTCCTAAATAAAATGTTCAAAGTGTGACCAAGAAGAACAAGAAGTTCTTATTCTCTAGCTTATACAGGAAGATATCGAATAACACAAATATGAGAAGAAGTTTAAAGGAAGTAAGAAAACAGTTGAAGAATGTAAAGTTGGATCAAACAAAATTTCTTAATTTGGCATACCTAGGCTCAAATATTAACTTAGTTTTGCAGAACAAGGAGTTGGAAAGGGAGCTAAGAGTTTGATACTTGGTTGCTTGACTGAGAGATAGATCAAATGATGAGCCATCATAAATGAGTTGGAAATAAATTATCTCCCTTTGTTAACATAAAAGGAACACAAGGCTTAGGGAAAATAGATTTCTAATGTAGATATATCATGCAAAATATACTCTGGAAGAGTGTAGAAGGTACATCTTCCATTGATACATTGAGAAATATATTTGTAGATTGTTGGATGAGTGAGGAAAACATCATACATATTTCTTCTTTAGTGTTCTAAAGTTTCACTGGTGACATTAGCCATTTTTTTTTGGTTTTTCAAGACAGGGTTTCTCTGTATTGTTTTGTAGGCTGTCCTGGACCTCGCTCTGTAGACCAGACTGGCCTTGGACTCACAGAGATTCGCCTGCCTCGGCCTCCCGAATGCAGGGATTGAAGGTGTGAGCCACTGATGCCTGGCTTGACGTTAGCCATTCTTAAAAGACAATAAAAGTAATTAAAATTTGGGGTTTAAGTGAAAACAACCATCAAAATACAGGTAGGGCTAATGTCTTAAAGGCAACCGAAGTTTGAGACATAATTTTAATGTTTAAGAAAATGTACATATCTCTTAGAATTTAATAAGGAGTTTTGATCTGATAGATGACTTCTTATACCCATCAATAAGCAAATTATGCAGCCATTCCCTGTTGAGTGGTCAGATCAGTACCACATTGTTACTACCAAACATCTCACAGTATTTTCAGCAACACATGAAAAGTGTATTCAGGAAAGGTAATCACCTTTTACAACCCCGGACACGGCACTGTTGGTATCAGATTTACTGGCTACATGATTTCCTGACTTATACCAGACATCAGTTATGGAATGACTTATCTAGGTAATCATAAATTATTCTTGTTATTGTTACATTCTAGAAATAACTTATACTGTTACTTTATTGTGATTAATAGCCTATTTCCCCCTCAGTTTCTTCACACATAGGAATTCTTAAATTATCAGGTAAAAACCAGAAGGAATCTAGTTGCAGACATCAGAGGCTTTCTTTCTGTGTGTCTTTTGGAAGTTAATCTCTCAATGTGGCTTTTCTTTCTCTTAAATATGCTGGTAAATTCTTCTCTACTTAGTCAGCTCAAGAAGTCCACACTTGGATCTTCTTTCTTTCTGCCGTAGCTTAGAAACACTTGGTGGGACGTTAATATAACCATCATTTTGTTTCCTTTCATCACAGTTCATCCCAGAAGTCTGCTTGCTTCCATTGTCTGAAGGCATTTCTTCATGTAACAAGAATAAATAGAAGGACCCCGAGACTGATATTGGGGTTCAAACTTCAAGCCGAAGATCAGAAAAGCAAAGCCGCTGGCCACTAGCTTCTTACCTCTACCTCAGAACGAATGAACTGGCTCTGTCTCTACAAGGTCTCACCAAGCCTCAGACTATAACCTTTCCTCAATGCAACTGGAGAACGAATGCCTCTCTTATACACAGTCTTATATACTTCCCCAATGTTGGGATTAAAGGTGTGAGCTGTAATAATTATCCTTCAGACTCATTAACTCTTGTGTAGATCTGAGTGGCTTTGGACTCACAGAAGTTCATCTGTCTCTTAACCCTGAGTCCTAGGATTAAAGGTTTGTATCACCATCTCCTAGCTTCTGGAGTGTAAGGTGTGGGCCATGATTCTACAGTTTGTGGTTGACTTTGCTTTCTGAATCCTCAGGCAAGTTTTAATAAATGATAAATATATCAATATAGCTTCATATTGATAGTCTATGATTTGCTTGTTTTAGAAAATTAGAAATCTAGTGTTTATTTCTTACAATGGTCAGAATCAGATTTCTGGTAAAGAGTCTCTGTAAAATTTCCTCTATTTTCTTGAAAAGTACTGCTTTATTATTTTCTTTCTTCCTTTATTGCTTATCAAATTCAACTTGTTTTTCTTCCTATATAAATGAAATAGTAAGTAAATAAGAAAATGGACTGTTTGTACAGGCTTGTTAAATATTTCTTTATCTTTAAACTTGAGCCAAACATCTCTTAAAGTTATCTATTCTTACTCAAACACCCAGGGATTAGTTAGAAAGTTTATCAACAAACACACTCCAGTTGATCCCCTGTATTGAATTATAGGCTTAATTTTTAAATGCATGTGAGGAATAATAGTATAAGAATTGTATATGAAAGTTGTGTGTTATAAAAATGCAAAAATTATAATCAATTAAAATTGGGTTGTGAGGAGGAGTTTGGAGAAGTGTGTTAGGAGGGTCTCAGAATGGTGTGAGCAGTGCTTGATGGACTACACTGGTGGGAGTACAAAAGAGCAGATTCCAATTAAAGACGAGAAAGACCACTATCTGGTCCAGACTGAGCTCTGCTTCCTGAACAGACAAGATACAACAGAGGATGCCACAGGCTTCTACAGACATGTATTGAACCATTTCAGTTATCATAGCTTCCCTGCCATGGTGAGTTGTATCTCCTCAACTGTAAGTAAAGAACAACTTTCTTTTTATATACATCTATACTCTATAGAGATTAGGTGTGAGTTAAAGAACACACATTAAAGGAAACATAAGATGAACCTAAAATAAACAAAATATAATAAAATAGAAAGACAAAGAACCATGGTTTGGTGGATGGATTTAAAATGTAGTTGAATATAAGTAACAATAGAAATAAATTATGCAATTACCACTTTCTAATACTAAATGATATAATCGTGAACAAGTTATTGTCAAATTATGTAGTGAACAATTTTCTTACACTAGCACAACTAATGCTAAAAGTAAAATCTTGTTAGTTTTTTCATCTTACAAAAAGTGAAACAGCCAAATATCACATCAACAAAATGTATGAATAAAAAATTCTTAGAAATCTAGTATTGGTATGAGATTTTACACACATATGGAAGGAAATTTATATATTCTCAAACCACCACTGTTTAAATAGTTTTTGCTTATAAATAAGAGAACTTAGAAAACACACACTTGTTATTTCTGTTAGAAATATTTATGTGCTTTGGTTAACAACATATAGCATAAATAATTATTTTTAAATATTTTCTAATTTGATTGTAAACAATAATAACTGAAATGATCCATCAAAAGAGGAGAAAGCAGATCACATCAGCCCCTCCAAGACCCCAACCCTAGCGAGTCCAGCTTCAGGTGAGATTGGGTCTCCGGCGGGGACTGCCCGCCCATTCCACATCCCCCTTGATCTTCCAGGCCACTCCTGGCATCTAGAAGACCGCCCACACAGGAAAGACATCAGCCCCTCCAAGACCCCAACCCCAGCGAGTACAGCTTCAGGAGACCTGCCCACACAGCAAAGAAGTCAACAATTCCAAGACCACAACCCCAGTGAGACCAGCTTCAGGAAAGACATCAGCCCTACCAGGACCCAAAGTCTGTGTCAGCATGCCCAGCTTCAGCTGCAGGCAGGAAGGAGACCAGTGTAGATGGAAAGACCCCACCAGCACCCACTGAAAGAAGAGATGGGAAGAAGACAGAATAAAAGATCACTCAGCAATAGAAACACCAACATGACCCCACCAGAATCCAGGGATCCAACACCAGCAAGACCCGAAAAGCACTACATAGACGAAGAAGAGGAGACAGACCTTAAAAATTATTTCATGAAGATGATGGAGATCCTCAAAGAAGAAACGAGGAAATCCCTTAAAGAAATAGAAGAAAAAACAAACAAAAAATCCATGAAATGGGGGAAAAATTCAAGAA